GATTTAATATTATTAATAAGCTTTTTAATTTATTTTATAAAATATGATGTATCAGAAGTGATGATACAGCCTATATAACCAAATTTATTTGAATTTTATTTTAAATAGAATTCAAACTCTTTATATGCTGTTTAAAATGATGACTTGATCACGTTACTAAATTATTTTACCTCTTATATGTAATATATTTAAAATTCATTATGTTGAGGTATTTTTGTAATAAATAATTTTAACTGAAAAAAATTTTTGTAATTCAGTTTATCAAGATTATACAATATGTAATAAAGCAACATTTTATAATTATGAAATAATTTACTATTATTCGTAATAATTTATTATTAGAAAAATTATATTTGATGCACCTTGCACTTGGTACACCCTATAGCAAAATAAGCTCATCTATATGATTAAAGTTAGAGTTAAGATTAGAAATAGAATTAAGACTAACATAAGAACCATTTTTTTTTATGTTATATAACCTAGTAAAATTTTGACATATCAAAGAGGTGCGTCAGATTGCAAGGCGCACCAAAAATCAATACCCTTATTATTATTAATAAAGGGTATTACGAAAGGAAAAGTGTATTTTAATTTATTACAACATTGTTCATAACAACTACAGCAGAGACAGTGCCCGATCCAAAGTGAATCCCTCTCGCCTGTGATCAATCGCAAATTAAATTATTTATGTTGGATTCAATTGTGATGGATATAATCCCTCATCAGTTTTAATATGTGTAACATTGACGGGTTCTGCTGTTCATAAAACCCCGGCGCTACGAATTACCGGGTACTATCAAATATGTAGAACTCACAGAGTATTACATATTAGCAAAGGAAAATTTTTAGATAAAATTTTCGCAATAGATAGTTGTATGGAGCCTTCGAAAGTTTGTAACTTTTTTTTTAAATCTAGATTAGTGGGATTGAACATTTAGATAAATTGGGCTAGGTGATGGAAAAAGGGCCGAAAATGACAATTTTTTCATGTTTTTTTTTTTTTTTTTTTTTTACATAAATCAATTTAGAATAAAATTAGAATCATTTTTTACTTAAATACAAAAGTAGTTGTATTAATAAAATTTTGCAGTATAGCTCTTTAAAGTTTGCATTTTCTTATGATTTATTATAAGATTTATAATATAAAAATTGATGTCATTTTCGCCCTTTTCCCAGCACCTGGCCCAATTAGTAAAAAAAAAAAAAAAAAGGGTGTTTATTTTCACAATACAATAATAATGTGCTAAATTTTATGTTTGCTGTGTAATAGTAACAGATTCTAGAGGTTACATATTCAACCGGTTTGACCCAAGTTGTAAATTTTTGACCCGGTTGAACCGTTTTGACACGGGTGACCAGGTTTACTATAACCCGGTGCTAACCTCTGTATTCGACTGGGAAGACTTATAAATATTTGAAATAGGTTCGTCCCAAGCTCTATTTCTAAATTCCAAACTTGACTCTTCCAATCGTTTAGCTGATTCATAGGAAGCACCGGGTCGAATCGTAGTCCTTGACGCTGGTGTCAAAGTGGGTAATACTCTTTGACGACGTCGTCTATACAAACAACTACATAATATAAACAATCCTCCTATTACGATTCCGACTATTATAGCTATAACAACAGCTGATGGTTGAGAAGCTGATGTTGTTGTTGCTGGTGTTTCGGTTGCATTTGCAGATGCTGTGGAAGTTGAAGTTGGTGTAGACGATGTGTCTGTTATTTCTTGAGGATTCGGAGAGGGAAATGCGTATGCAAGGGAAGTAAGTATGATAAAGTATATTGATAATATTGACATTATTTTCAAAGAGACGAAAAAATATAACATTATAAGTCTTAAACCAAAATATCATAAAAATGACAAAATTTAGGATATTTGTTTCATCGACAACTGCGTACTCTTGTCACTGCCTGACAATTCTGCATGAGAAAAGAATCATGAGTCTATTGTACGCACGTACGTAAATGAGTGGCTGTGTCATTTATTCAATCATATGTTCCTGTTGAAATTCTTGATTAAAATGACTGTCATTATCTTTATGGGGCGAAGAATGCATAGCCCTTTTTTTACACCGCCTCATTCACTTATATTAGCTTGTTTGATTTGGATTTAAGGTGTCACGCATTGACTTGGTGTGACTTCATCCGATAGAGCTTACCGATTTCTTATTCGAATAATTTATTTCAGCAAATATTATTCGAATATGTACTATTTATTCGAATAGCATATAGCTATTGGATATGGTGCAGCCAAGAAACATCCAATAACGAGAATTATTCGAATCAATTTGCTTATTCTCGTTGAATACGAATATTATTCGAATAACGAATACGAGGCTCTACATATACTTCCTTGACAAAAGTCACCAGACGATGACCATTTTTAAAATGATCTGCAAACGAAGGACTCGTTGAAAATACATTTTCGCGCAATTGTTAGAGAATACATTGTGAATACCTATATGATTAGATAGTTTAAGAAATGTAGTTTTTAAAAATGTAAAATCGCAAAGTATTATTTGAAAATGAATGAAATCAGATAGTCAGTACTTGGAGATGTGGTTGTCCAGTTCCTACTATTATAAAACAACTTGGTTTTGCAAAATTAACAATTGATATAATTAACTTGTTTAAAGACACTGAATATAAATAAATGTTCTTGCTTAGAGTAGAAGACTTCTTATGTTAAATAATTATAATAAATGTTACTTAAGGGTAGAGAGTACTCTTTTAAAATTATACATAAACTTAATAATAATTTTTTTTATATTTTATTTTATAAAAAATTATATTAAGTAATCTAAATTTTAATTCATAAAAAATATTTATAGAGTAGGTTTTTATTATAATTATAATAAAATTATTAAAATTGGTTAAAAACTTAATAAATTATAAAATTTTAAAAATTAGATATAAAAATTTATTAATAAAACTAACTTATAAATTTATATAAATTGACTAATTAGAATTAGTAATTTGTATAATTTAGAAAATTTTGGATTAACTTATAAATCTTTGTAATATATACAAATATATTTTTTAAAAATATATTAATAGTTTAAAATTTTACCATAATAAATACATTTATTATTATTATTATTATTATTATTATACTTCAAGTTATTTCTTATTAAAAATTATATATTTTTTAAAAAATCTATAAAACTTTAAGTTTTAAAGATTTTAAAACTCTTAATTTACTAAGAAAAATAAAAATCTAATATATATAATACAAGCAAGTAGAGAAAACTAAATAAATATACAATAAAAAACTTAGTTTGAGTTTAATAGACTGCAACTATTAATTTAATATAGACATATTAATAAAAACAAAAATTATGAGAAAAAAAGATAAAGAGATTATTACTATAACTAAAAAAATATACAATAGTCTCAGAAACTTATATCTAAATTTTTTTTTCAAAACAGTTAAAACTATTAATGAACAACAAAATAATAAATAAAATATTAAAAGCTAAAACTAACAGCAAACAACAAAAGAATAAATAAAATATTAAAAGATAAAACTAACAACAAACTAAATAAAACATATACTGATCAAGTATTAAAAATATATATATATTTTTTCTTAAAACAAAAAATAATATAAAAGTAGACAATCTAACTCATCTTTATTAAAAAACTAAAAAACATTATCTTACATAAATTATAATAACAACAAATATGTTTTAATAGATTTAAATAATATAATATATTAATGCAACTACTATTTCTAAAATTATAATATCCTTCACTTCTTATAGACTATTTTTAGAAGAGAATAATGTAAGTAGATAGATAAAAAAATCTATTTATATAAAGAATTAAATTTATAATAATTAGACTTAATGTACAGTACAGGCTATAGCACTCTTTATAGCTATGAGAACTAAGCATATAATGATCAAATTTATAAATAAATCTATAATTTTTTTGAATTCTATTTATCATCTCACCTTAAGAAAACATTACAAAACTCAACCTACAATATACTAGTAGATCCAGACTCATGTTATAATAAATAATTAACCCACCAAGGCTTACCTTTACTCTCACATTCACAAACTCTTTATTCCTTTCTTAAACATATATATTTTTACAATTTCATATTACTTAATTTTTATAACTTTATATTACTAATATCAATTAAACTAGATTATAGTGAGTGTTATATATATTTATCAAATAAACCAGAACCCTTATATAATCATTTTATTCTACAATGATCTGGTTATAAATATTATTCATCAATCCTTATTCTTTCTAAATACTTTTCAGTACTTAATAATACACAATGTACCAAACCTGTTATTGAGAATAATACTTTAGCTTACACTTATATACAACTAATAGAAACTGTTTTATCTAGTTATGATAATACTATTATTGTTAATAAACACTTTGGCTCTATATAACTTCATATATTACAATAAATTCTTAGCTTATAATTATCTCTTATTACTTTTATATCTACAAACTATTATCTCTTTTTTATAACATATTTATAGTTTTGATTATTTGCCAAATAATACTTATATTTATACTTTAATTATCTCTATTAAAAATGATTACAGTGAAGCCTATATTTACCTCTTATCTGAACCTAAAACTCTACTAAATTATTTTATTCTACCACTTCAAGTTATTTAACATTATCTAAACATTTTACTAAAATCAAATATAACAGAAGATGATTCTCTTCTCTTAACTTAATAAATTAAAATATAATAATATTTATATCAAACTCATTATTTTTTATACCTTTAATATTATTACAATAATCATTATCTCTTTTTATTTCTGTATCATCACCTTTAATATTGCTACCACTTTCAATACAAACTCTATATCTATATAAAACTTATATAACCTTTATTTAAATATTGTTATATATAATGTTAGAAGATTTAATACAATTATCAAAAAGAAACTTAACAAAATTATTGTCTTTACAATAATATTGATATTGTCTATATCACTAAAACAAAAATTACTAATACTACTAATCTTCATTTTTGTAACAATAATCTGTTTACATATTTTTGAACAAATTCTGAAAATTCTACTAAAGGTACTGTTATTATGATTTGTAACTATCTTTAATCATATATATATAACTGTTAAATATATTCTGGAGGAGCAGTAACTTTAGACCTTTTTTTAAAAAATAAAATTAAACTCTATATTATAGCAATTTATCTCTCTTATATTAATATATATCAATATAATAAAATACAAGAAACAGTTATTTCATAGATCTAACAAGTCTATCAACTCAACTTTTATCCAATTATTCTTACTAACTTTAATATACATAATGATATTTGTAGCTTATCATCTAAATTTTGACTTACTAACTATCTTTATCAAGCCAACATATATGACCTTGATGTACATATTGATAATAAAACTATATATAATCAAATAATATTAGTTAAAGTTATATTAACTACATATAAACTAATTTATTTAATATACAATTCTTTTTTTTTATAATCTTGATGATAGTAATAACTCTACACTAAATAATTATTCTATCCTTCTTTTTTTATAGTTTTTTGTTAATATATTTAGTAAGCCTTCATATTATTATACTGATATTAGTTATAAAATTTTTAATTACAATATTATGTTATCAGAAAAATAAACAGAATTTTCTGATTTGCTTTTTCAAAAACTTAACTCACATAACATTCTACTTAATTACAACATCAATAAAAGTATAGAACTATCTGGCATAAAATCAAATACTTAATTATTTATATTGCTATACATTTAATTTTTAATAAAAAATCTTGCAAACACAGTTATAATTATAAGTACTCATCTCAGAGCACTATACTTTATCTATTATTTAAAGAACTTAAACATTTAATCAAAATTGTTAAAAACCTAAATAAGAATTTAAATATTAATATTATTAATTTCAAAATTAAAAATATAAATACAAGATCTAATTATGATATTTAAATTTTGTCTTCTAACCAACAATCAAAACTTATATAATGAACTCAACATATACAAGATATTTGGAAAAAGCTTTACTATACATGTCATCTTGAAAACTTCTTACTATTCTGACAATAACTTCAACAAGTTACTAAAAAAAAATATAAAACACTCTTTATACATTCCAAATAAGCTTTAAACAGCATCTTTAATCATTACAAATCTTCTATTTACTTTTCAAATATTAAACTTCTTAAGCAACTTGTTACAGAGTTACATCTTATTAAACAACATATACAATTTCATTTTCTTAACTAGACAGCTTACCAACCAATTGACCAAAACCTGTTTAATAATTTTTAGTTTATATAATATTAATTACAACTACATATTGATATCCAATGATACAACTCTTTTACCATTCTTATTACAGAAAAAGAAGTATTCTAAACTATAGAAAACTTTCTAATGAAAAAGCCTGTGGTCCTACAGATATCAGTTATGAAATGCTTAAACATGCAGATGCTGTCTACATTAAAGCTATAACTGTTCTATTTAATCACTATCTTAACTTAGACCAAATTTCAAAACAATAAAAGCATAGTAGAATATATCCTATTTTAAAATATAATATATTTGATGAAGATCTTAATCTTATCTATTCTATAAGCCTAATTGAACATATTTGTAAAGTCCATACAAAGATTATTACAAACAAAATTAGCACAATATTCTTACAATATCTGATTCTCTTACTATATAATTATGTTACTTTATAACCAATCAAAAAACTCTTTCTGCAAATCTATTAAATATAAATTAACTAAAAAATTCATCTATCTAAAAATACTTATAACTATTTATTTACTAAGACAATCTGTTCTAGGCTCTTAAGTAAACTTGTTTAGCTTATCATTTTACATATATCCTATAAATATTAAGCTTTAATAATTTAAATTCATCAAGAAAACTATACTGACGGCCTTTGGCCTCCAGTTTATAATTTTTAATCATTTCACAGTTTCTATTGCCTTAATCTGTTCTATACTCTTAATTAAAGTTATAGTACATAGTTACCCAATCAAAACAAGCTCTAAACAAAGATTTTTGACCCAATATTAGTTGAACTACAACTAAATTCAATATTTATTCTCTTATATAACATTTTTTTTACTTTTTGTCCTTATCTCATCTTTTTTTTCTTTTACATGTTTTTCATGTAACCATATAATCATTTCCAAATCCATACCTTATTAATTTATACTAACATTTGTAACCAACCTATTTATAAATATTCATTTAACACAATCTATTATTACTATATTTGGTTCTTACTTATATTACACAGTAATTTGTATTACAAATTATAGTTGTATCCAGTACCCAAGTTACAGTAGTAACCCTAATTATTCTAGTTACACTCTAGCACTATCCAGTAACACCTCCACAATATAACACTTGTTTTTATCTACTA